CACATACAGTTTCAAATAAACCCTGTCTCAGTTCAAAAACATACCTTATGAGTAGTTAAAAAACAGAAGAATAATTGTATTTTAAAAGGACTTCAGATAGCATGCAAGAAACTGACTCTCCCAGCTTTATCTGAAATGAGCTATAGTCACCTTCATGACCAACAAGAATTAGAGGACAGTGGAGTCAGGTAAACAGATAAGGTAGCTTCTGTCTCATCTTGCTTTTGCTATCCCCTTCCTTTCCTCTCCTTCCGAACAGACACATCAATGCTCAATTTTAGCCTGAGTTTTATGCCTTCCCTGTCTCCATATTAATCAGTGTCCTAGGAAACCTCACCAGAAACACGAAAGGGAGAGGTTGAAGGATCTCAGCAAGTAGCAGAGAGGTACTCCACCAGCTCAGTTCTTTATTGAGCCCCTAATTACAGACTGAAAGCCCAATGTCTGTAGCCACTTTGGGAAAGCTGTACGTCAACACAGCCAGGAGTAGTCACATGTAGCCTCCATCTCAATTTTCTCTGGCCAAGAGAAACTCAGCAAAGAAAACACAGCCAGCTCTGGGTTCAAAGTATTAAACAAAAGAGAAGAGCCATTCAATCAACCTGCCTCAAGGCTTCTCTTTTCTCCTTCCCAATTAAAATCAGCCTCTGCTTAATTACACAAACAGGGCTGGAGAAATAAGAGATGTCAGCTGCACTCTCCATCTGACAATGTGTTAATATCAGACAGTCAAAAGCATTATTTTGTTTGTTTGAGATAGGGTCTCACTATGCAGGTCAGGCAGGCCTTGAGCTCACTATGTTTAGTGCAGGTTGGCCTCAAACTTGTGGTAATCCTCTTGCCTCAGTTTTCCAAGTGCTGGGACTGCAGGTATGTGCCACCATGCCTGGTTTAAAAGCACTTAAAGTGCAATTTTGAAAATTAACTTCAGTGTTAGTCATTTATGCTTATAAACATTACTGTATCATTTTTTTCCTTTTCTTATTTTACCATGTTTTAATGGAAAGTATTGCAAAAGACATCATATAAACTTAGCTATTAACACCAGGGTCAAGACTAGTGGAGGAAGCAAGAGTATGGCGCAGAATTTAAGGAGCCACTCATGCATGAGCTGTGCAAGCCAAGTGTCAGCACCTCAATTTGAGAATGTCTTTAGATTTTCTACTTGTGACACTTTTACTTGATAAATTAGTCAAGAATGAACTAGTCATTACAGGAAATACCCAAGTAACTTTCTATACAAGAAACAACAGCTACTAATGGTGTGAAACACCCAATGATTTTTATATAGAAATAAAGCTGCATGGCATCTGGTTTTTGTCGTTGTTGTTGTTATTCTTTAAAGCTAAAGCAGGAAGATCTCTATGTGGCTAGCCTGGGTAACTCAGTGAGACCAGGTCTCAAGGTAAACGGGGCTGCAATTTAATTCAGTGGCTCAGCACCCTGGATGCAAACACTCCCTGTCCTTACACCCTACAACATTAATTGCAGCCCAGGCCACTGTCTGGCCTGCTTGAAGGACGGTATATCATTTTATCAGTATTTGCAGGTTGGCTGGCACTGATAACATCACATACTCCATTTTACACCACGCAAAATGTTCCAACCTATAAAAGCATCATAAGGCCCAGTGACATTAAAATTAAGTGATTTCGGGTAAAACAACTAGGTCAATTAAGTTATTGCATATTGACATATTTGAGTATGTATTTTTAAGCTTGTATATTAAACATAAACTTTTAAAATACACTGAATTACATATGATTATTCTGCTTTAGTATTATTTTAACTTAAAAATCAGAATATGTAAGATAATTATAATTTCATTAGTTTAAAAACTTTGTTTCAATTTTGTTACATACCTTTGTAACAAGCTAATGTCAGGGCACTCTCTTTAAATTCATTGGAATGCGTGTTAATGCCAGCCCCATTTTCTAGCAGCAATCTGGCTACTTCCACATGTCCAGCACTTCCAGCTTCCATGAGAGGCGTGTGACCATTTTCATTATGGTCCTCAATACTAGCACCGGATTCCAAGAGCACCTTTACCACATCTACATAGCCTCCAGCACAAGCATAGGTAAGTGCTGTGTTGCCTATTATAATGAATAAAAAGAAAAACACTTCAACAAAAGACACTACAACAAAACTCAGCATCTAATTTACGTCAAGGAGAATAAAATTTGAAGACTACAACCATAATATCAAACAAATATATAAATTCTTAATTTACTTTATCTTTCTTAAATAAGGACTTATTTTTCTCTATGCATATTAAACAAGAATTAAATGCATGGATAAGCTGATACACTTTTTAAGACTGTACTTACAGAACGGAGCAGTTCTGCTCTGAAACAAACTTTTCTCTTTCAAATAAGAAAAAGATGTTTTAAAAAAAGTTTAATAAGCATTACTTTTAAGTACTACATAGATAAAATTAACCATTCATACCTCATACCATTCTTTTAATGATGTAATTGTTTTCAGTATAGCTTTCATAACAAGTTAACTAATCAAAATTTTAAGTTTACATATTGAACATAAACTTTAGAATACTTTAAAAACATAAATACATTTAATTACGTAACATATTATCATGCTTTATATGAATTTTTTTTTTAAAGACAGGGTCTCAGTATGTCACTTATGCTGGCCTTGAACTCACTATAATCCTCCTGTTTTAGCCTCCCAAGTGCTGGGATTACAGGCATGCACCATTCATGCCTGGCTAGTATTATTTTAATTAATTAATTTTTTATGTATTTGGTATAGGATTTCACTACACAGCTCGGAACTACAGTGACCTTCCTGTTTTCAGCCTCCCCAGTGCTGACATTACAGGTGTGTACCACCATGCCCAATCTTGGTGGCTGGTTCAGCGTGCCTGGGGGTGGGGCCAGCAAGACGTGCTGTGCTGGGGCCTGAACTGATTTAAAACCAGATTATAATGTCTTTGTTTCTTGATTTTAAAAAAACCCCATCTTAGAATAAAAATAACTCTTTGAGTAACAGATTTCATGTAGACTTCAAACTTTATTTAAAATGTCTAATAAATTTGCTATTCTTACATAAACACATAATAAATTTTCAAAATTTTAAAACTTTTACAAAAATCAATCTAGGCTTAAGCTTGAACCTGAAGTTATGAGCCTAGCCTTTGCTTCCATATCCTTCTACTTGCCTTATCTCCCTTCTCACTGCCCCCAGAACACAGAACTGGGTATGAGGTGTAACCCTGCCTGTTCTACTCCTAGACAAAGGAACCGTCTGACAAGGTCAGTTGTCCACCTACTGTATGAGCAGTAATTGCCTTCATAAAGCCAGAGAAGGTTCATTTGAAATATATTCTATATACTTTAAGTGTAAATATGCAGCACTTCTAAAACATAACGTAACTGTAAAAGCATCACTAACGATCATTTCCATGTGCAACAATTATTACCAAAGGATACAATTTAGCAGAAATGAAAACTTAAGTGACCTGTTGAAGACTGTGCATTGACATCAGCTTTATGAGCTAGCAGCAACTTCACAATTTTGACGTGTCCTCCATTAGCAGCAGCCATTAAAGGTGTAATGTCACCTTTGATTCCCCTATCTTCCACATTTGCATGCATTGCCAACAAGACCTGTTGAAAAGACAAAGAGTGTATTAGAAGATAATTTCATCATTTGGTGGGGGCAGGGCAGGGGGGGCACAGTGCTGGGGAATAGACCCGGTACTTTGAGTAAAAAATATTTTGTGTATGCATTCATAATAAAGACTTGATATAAACATAGAAAAATTATCTAACAAAACCTTATATGTTAAAATAAACTTAACAGTTTAAAGGGCTTTCTTTGTTTCCCTAGGGCCAGATATAAAGAAAAGTAAAGCTTTACTTTGATAATACAAACCTGGGCAAGCTCATAGTATCCAGCAGAACAAGCTAAACAAAGTAGGCTCTCTCCCTCCTCAGTGTGCTCATTCACACTTCGCCCTTCAATGAGCAACTTCCGCACAGCATTCACATCTCCTTCTGAACAGGCTTCTGCCAAACTGCGGCTATTAGGAGAAAAATATTGGGATTGTAGGATATAAGAATATAAAAGTACAGCATAAATACTGTTAAATATGAATGGCTATTGCAATAGTCTTAACATTTCTTAAACAGAAAGCTAAAAATGAGTTCATACAATTTAATATCTACATAGTAAAATTACTGATTAAATGATCAATATTCTACAAATGTTCTTAGCTATACAACTGAAGGATAAAGTATACTGTAAGTGGAGAAACTACAAATTTTTAAATAAAATCTAGAGTAAAATAAAACACAGGACATAAGTCAAAGGCCTATTTGAGTCCTTCTATCCAATAAGATGAGGGCATGTGATAACTGAATTAACTGATAAGGGATCTTTTTTGAAGCAAGTATGTACTTAATACTTTTGTAGTAGATGGTCAAGACATTTTTTTTTTAGCCTAATGGCAATGCTTCCTAGCCAGTTAGTTCTGATTTCACCTTTGACCTCCTCATGCTTTACAACAAAGAAAAGTTCCACCCTCCTTTTTTCTTGGTCTTCTGAGACAGGGTCTTGCTATGTATTTAGGCTGATCTTAACTCACTATATAGCCAAAGCTGGCCTCAAACTCAGAGTAATTCTCCTGCATCAGCCCCCAAAGTGTAATTACAAGAGTGTGACACCCAACCAAAGTTCACTCTTCTGGTTAAGAATCCACAGTGAGAGCCTTATTAGACCTGCCCAGGGGCAGACACTACACCTCTCGTCCCTTGACACTTCTTGCAGCTTCTCCTCATATCCTTCTTTATACTTTGGCTGTAGTGCCCTTCTTGCTATCAGATGTAACAGCTGGTGTAACCAAGAAATACATTTTACATCAAATGTTTAAATTTTAAAAATTACTACAGTAAAAGACACCTTGGCTTTAATACCACAAGAATATTTTCCTTTGGTTCAAACACATACGTTTATCCCATCAGCCTTTCATTTTTCACACAGAAACTGCTGTAAACTTTGATCAACAAGGGTTTGATTGTAGTAGAGTGTGTGTTTAAGTTTACAAATTTATTCCAACAAAAGACACACTACCATTAATCCCCTACAGGACTCCCTAGGCTCCACACACTTGCCCCATGATTCATGGCAGGGTGTCTTTTACTGCAGTTAAGATTTTTAAATGTAAACACCTAATCTTGGGGTTGGGGAGATAGCTCAGTAGAGTAAGCACTTGCCTGGGAAGTGCAAGGGCCTGAGTTCAATCCTCGGTTCCACCAAAAAAAAAGAAAAAAAGGAAAAAAAAAACAAAAACAACAAACCACCAAATCTTTTGCTCTCCCCTTAATTCTACCCCAAGACACCTGATTTTGCCTTTATCACAGCTCCTCTCCTATTCACCTCCGCATTTAAGTAAGGATTTCCCTGACTCACCTGTTAAAAATGTAACGTGATCTTCAAACCCTGTACGAGCAGTTCCATGCTCTTTGTAACCCACAGTTTTTATCAGTGTGTCACTCTATTTCATTTACGCATTAATTGCATTGTCCTGTTAACAATCTTTAGCAAAGTAAGAGTTCCGAATCACACTTACTAAACTTGACACTTAAGAAGGCCTCTGAATTTCCCACCTAACAGGACACTGACAGTCTAGGTCTTATGTTTCACATTTTAAGCAAATTTAGGACAAATCCTTGCTCTAGTACAGCTTTTACATAAGAGCACACCTTTCTACCTCTTACATCTCTGAAAGTATTCAAAATGACACATGGTACTGTGTTAGCTAACACACAAACAGCACTTACTGCACTTCACTGCCTCATATCACTCAAGCTTTGTTGAATAAATGATTGTCACAAGCATGTTTTATTCTTTCAATATAAAATAATAGATGGATTTTTTAATTTTTGCATTCCATTTCCTGCTTGAACTTGCTGTACTATATTTATGTTTTAAATTTTCTTTCTTGCCTGTCTTAGCTGGCATCACATTAAAAAAATCTGGATATTATTATAAAGGAAATCTTTAAGTCACTTCTTAAATGTTATAATTTTCTCTCTATTCTTCCTCCACAATGACATTTTAGTCAACAACACTCTGTGTATACGACAGTGGACCCATAAAATTATCTATCACTCAATGACTTTGTAGCTTAGTTTGGCAAGTACAATTTAATGTTCAAAGAATTCATATCCTCAGCTGGGCACCTGCCTATAATCCCAGCTACTCTAGGCCAGCCTGAGGAATTCACTGAACCATATCTCAAAGTAAGAAAGGGCTGGGGATATACACCAGTGGTACAGCCTTCCTTGGCTCCATCTCCACCACTACAAAGAAAGGAAAAAAAAAAACCCATCCTACTGTTAGGCAATGTAGGACTATAGTAGAATAATTTTCTAGTGCTAAAATAAGTAAATTAGCTTCACTTTAGTTATAGGGAAAAAAGCCACCACTGATGATTGAAAAAGTAATATAAGTCATGCCTTTCCAGTTCCTTCCTTGGACTTTATATCCATTTTCCACTATATATATATATGTATATATAATTTATATATATCAATATATATATATATAATTGTTTTTATACATAAAATGGTGTATCATCAGAGAACCTTAAAGGAGTCACATAATATGAGTCCTTACCAACTCTAATGTATTATATAAGCAATTACAGAAGAAATCCAAGTGAAGTTCCTCAGGAAATATAGTTACCATTTTCTTTTCTTTCTTTCTTTCTTTCTTTCTTTCTTTCTTTCTTTTTTTTTTTGGTGGAACAAGGGATTGAACTCAGGCTCTTGTGCTTGCCAGGGAAGCACTTATTCCACTGAGCCATCTCCCTGGTAAATAGTTACCATTTTAAAAAGACAAAACCTTACCCTTTTAAATGGTCACAGAATGATGTACACAAACTCAGAAATAGTTATGACTGGAAAGTATTTACACTTCTTTGGCACCAATACATAAAAAGAAAATGCAGCTAAGCAAAAGTTCTCTTTTATAATACACAATGGCTAGGAGGTTAGTGTACATAAGACATGCACTAGTGTTCTGCCACTCAACAATTAACTGATCATAAGTAATTCAAATCTTAGCTTTTTACCTATCAAATGGAAACAGAAATAAAATCTATGACTTAAGCCATTACGAATACAAATAAGATGTCACATACATGTTAAGTGGTTAGCACACTGTTGGGCACAAAATAAATGCCCCGTAAAATCAGCTATTTTTCTTTGTAAGACAACAGTATTCACACTGACCACAGCAAAACATTACTTACTTGTCCGACTGCCCTGCACTTGCTGTGCTCTCAGCTCTCATCCGAGTAAGTGCAGCAGCAGCTTCATCCAACGCACAGCTAACAGATGACGTTAACCTCCGTAGTACCTCGGGGTCTGCAAAGGCTTTCCCGTCAGCCGTGGATAACTTGCCTATTCCTATGACATTATTTCCACACCAATATGGATATGTCCAACAGAAGAAGCAAAGCAAAATTCAAGTTACTTAAGTATGTTGACAAATAAAAACCTGCAAATGGTACAGTTAACACACATATTTTCTGTCATCTTTCTGGGTAACATATTTTTCTAAAACCCCTATCCTTCCATGTAGTTCCTAAGTACATGATCTTGATAACCTCTGGTGCCAGAAATGAGTATTGAGCCTGTGCTGGGACAACCTGGAGCCTCCCTTAACTGTCTGTCATGTCTTTGAATGAACCAATGTTCAAAGACTGCTAAATTAGTAAGATATGAGTCATGAGCTACTTAGCCCTTTTATCACCATATACAGAAAAAAGTTGCCCCAAAATAAGGTCGACAAAGGAAAGCAGAAAAACAGAGTCCTAAAAATTATTTTTGACTCAGTGACGCCAGTAGTGTCAGTACTGTTCTTGTATTTCTGGTAAATGTCCACATTTACTTAAGAATGTTTAGCTGGTTTAACACTTGTAACCACCACTATTTTTTTTAACCCTGTTTATTTTTTATTTTTTGCAGTACTGGGGATTGAACTCAGGACCTTGAGCTTGTCAGGCAAGCCTTATTCTAATGAGCTATCTCCCCAGCCCTTAACCCTGTTTAAACAAGCTCATCTCTAACCTGCATTACTTTTTTTTTTTTTTTTTTTTTTTGGCGGAACGGGGATTGAACTCAGGCCCTTGCGTTTGCCAGGCAAGCGCTTATTCTGCTGAGCTAACTCCCCAGCCAACCTGCATTACTACTGCATGGGGGTGCTTAAGCCAAGTTGTCCATTAGTATCATCAGTGGTGCTTTTCAAGAACACAGATGCTAAGCTCTCCCATATTTGTTGATCTAATTTAATTCAGAAAGAAGGGCTAAGGTGGTCACATATTTTAAAAATGACTCAGATATACAGTCAGGATTTAAGAAACTTAGCATTTAATGCCATGATGGATATTACTGAACTTTGCTATTCAATATATGATCCAGTGGGCAAAAGTATTTCGATTACTTGTAGACTTAAAATGTAGAATGTTGATCACTCATTCTAGCACTCTAGAAGGCTGAGGCAGGAGGACTGCAAATTCCAGTCCAACTTGAGCACCTTTTAGAGACAGGAACACCCTGTCTGTAAAAAATTTAAAAAAACTAAAAAAAAAAAAAAAAAAAAAAAAAAAAAAAATCGACGGATATAAAACCTTGGTTACAGTCCCCAATACAAAACCAAAACCAAACCAACACTCCCCAACCCCACTCAGGTCTCAAGATGTAATGATTCAAAATCTGCACTTTTAAAGTAATCCCTAAGTAATTTCAATACACATTAACGGACACTAGCTTTTAAAACAAATTACTGGGGCCGGGGAGATGGCTCAGTAGAATAAACGCTTGCGCAAGGGCCTGAGTTCAATCCCTGGTTCTACCAAAACAAACAAACAAACCAAATTATTTAAGTCAGAGACAAATAGGATCACTCGGTAATAATAAAGATACTCATGTATATAAATGTATTTTATAATAAAAAGAGCACAATATCACATATGCATGTATTTAAAGTTTTATAAACAAGCATCTGCTTATTCTGAAAAAATCTGATATAAAATATTGTATTTTTATAAAGGCAAAAATAATTCTCACAAGAAGCCACTGATTTTGCTCTAACAAAATGTTCAGACCAATCAATTTCATGTCTGCTTATCAAGAAAGGCAAAGAATATAAACAGTCTTCTCTGGTAACTTCTGGATAATCCGTAACATGAATATTAAAAGTCACACTACATTCCAAATTGCTACAAAAATACTAATTTCATAGATCACCTTTACTAAAGGCTATTATGGCACTACTGAAATCAAGGTCACAGATTTCTATTTGAGAGAATTAGCTTAAATTGCTATATAACAAATATTTGTCAGTTATAATGAAAGGAACCAGGCCAAGAGGAAAAACTAGTTAAAAGAAATCAAGGCTTAAAAAGAAAGTTCAAAACAAATACTCCATGTTACATCTTTATCAATTTTCCATATATTCACAGATAATTTAGTAAAGATAACTATGCAGTAAACAAAGATATAGACTGCAAACTTTCAAACTTATAAGCAGTGATCAAAAATTAACTACACTAGCTATTCTGGATTACCATGCACCTGTTAGTCTCATCCAGTTATTAATGAGCATGTAGCACAAAGCAGAGTATGTTGACTAGATTATTCTCTCCCACTTCTGACATTCAATGAAGTAAACAACAGAACTACAAAAGAAAGAACACATATAAAATACCTAGATTTCTAATTTTAAAATAAAAGTAAATATTTTTTTCTTCTTGTAGAATAAAAAGACTACAATGTAACAGAAACTTCATCTTTCATAAAACTAGAAAAAATTTTAAAAATCTAAGTATTAATGAAGCCAGAATAAATGGGTGATGCAACTGATTTAACACAATAAACTGAAAGATGACTATAGTATCAAAGAGAAACCAGGTAACCAGACTAAAAGGACTAAAGAAATGTAAGTACCAGATATAGGGTCGAGGCTTTGCTTGTAAAACAGGGAGAAAAAACACACGCTAAACTAGAATATGAACAAGAAAAGGTAAAACAATAGAAGACAAAAACAGGAAGTTAGAAACATCTTACAGAAGGCCTTACAAGAGAAAATGGAACATATTCAGCAGAAATACAATGAACAAGATTTGAACATGAAGCTTGTGCAAAGAGCAATTTAAGACTTATAACAAAAGGTAGTTAAAAAAAAAGAAAAGGAAAAGGCAGATAAAAAGTAATAAAGAGAAGATGTGGTAAGAACAGAAGATATCTTAAATATTTGGTACAGTGACAGGAGGAAGAAAAAGCTCAGGAGGAAGAATAGGACCAAATATTAGAGGAAGAGAAAAGAAGTGGGTTGAGAAGGACGAAGCTGAGGCAAGGAAACTACACATAAAATAAGTCACGTGTACAAGAAAACAAGTTCAAGAAAAGCTACAAAGAAAAGCCAACGAAAAGGAAGAATGTACTATGGAACTGGAACACATAATGAAGGTTTTAAAGAACTTAACTGTGAAAAGAAGGAGAATTTTGCAAGACACTGTGGTCTAGCCCAGGAGCAAAGGAAGCAACCAGATGAAAACAACTCACCAGCAGTAAGCCTGAGAGGCAAAGAAGAAAAGCACCAAGAGTTTGAAGCAGGGATAGTAGCAAACCAGAGTTGCCTGGATCAGAGCCAAAGATCCTGTCCAACCACCCCATGCTCTCCCAGAATATCCATCTCATGCATAGGACATGCCCTAATAAACTTCCAACATGGTTCCTTTAAAAACAAAACAAAAACCTGGGAGATGGGTTGAATACTTGGTAATTATTCTCTAAAAATACCAAACTAGGTATAGAGAAGGAAGAGATAAAGGACTAAATAGAA